CGCCGAAAGATACCCAAAGCCACTCCCCGGGAGACCGGAGAGGGATTGGGACATCCCCAGGCAATCCAGATTCCATGTCAAACTACACCACCCCCATGAACCTCAACGGAATGGGATGAACCCCAGTACCCTTTCCCCTACCCAGGAACTAGCGTGCTTGTGGTAAAAAAAAAAAGAGGAAGGGTAATAGGGAGGGGTGGGGAGAGGAAAAGAAAAAGGGAGGATGGGATAAGGAAGGGGGGATTGGGGGGCAATTAAGTTCGGTCTGAGGAAGGAGACCAACAGGTCTAATTCCTCAGACCAAGAGCCTCTTCACCACGCCAAGGAGCCCCCTTTGAAGTTTTCCATGCTTCCAGCCACCTCACTTTCATGGATGTCCCCCCACATTTGTACCCAACTCTCCCCCAAACACTTTGTTCTCACCTGTGTACCTCACTCACCTACCTCTACCAATCTGACCATACACTCTCGTGTCACATGGGACATACAATGGGCGAAGAGAATGTGGGACAGGAGAGACAGATGCACCCACGGGCCACTCTCACCCTTTCACTGAGGCTCACCGTGAGACTGAGGGGAAAAAATGTGGCATGAGCCACTTATTCCCTTACGTGCACTCCACTGTGTAAACCTATATTTTATGGTGTGTTCACCAAAAATATGCCACAATTTTCCAACTGTGTTTGAGCAAAAATGTGTAAACAGACTGCGCATTATCTGGCAGTCCACAGTGCCAAATTTTGAAAAGCTATTAAAATAAGTGAGGTACAAGACATCTAGTGTTTTATATTATATGTAGCTTCATATACCATTTGCTGCATCATCAGGGCTACCAGCTGCCATTATCTACTAACAACAACAAACTTATGTACTGAATGAAAAATATTCTATGATACAGATGGCAAACTATTTATAATGCATTATAACTTAAGCTTCAGAAAAAGCTAGGACAAACTGAAAGCAGTTACTAAATCTGCATATCATACTCACAATGAAATTGGAAAAGCTAAAATATTTTTACTTAGAATTATGTAAAAATAAGAGAAACCTTAACCAAATTATTCCAGAAATTATGTTCTAACAGCATTCCAGTTTATTTTTGTAAATGATGTTACTGTATTAACAATCCCAAATACTGGTATTTGTGAAGTATATAGTATGCTCAATTAGAATGAGTTATGAATGACAGAACAGTAAATTATGATATGATGGGGCCAGTCATAATACTTAAAAAAGGAAGTCAATAAGTGAAGTTAGTGGATGAATTTGGGTGTGTAAAGAAAGTTGAAAGTGAACACAGATAAGAGAATGGTGATGAGGGTATTCAACAAGTTAGGTAAGGAAAAATTGCATATCAGATTGGAGGGAGGGAGTATGGAAGAAGTAAATATGTTCAGAGAGTTGGGAATGACCTAGGTAGTAGGTTGGCAGACAGCAACCGCCCAGGGAGGTACTACCATCCTGCCAAGTGAGTGGTATGTCTTGTTACTTCTACTTACACTTAGGTCACACGACACATGCATGTACAAGCATATATATACACACACCCCTCTGGGTTTTCTTCTATTTTCTTGCTAGTTCTTGTTCTTATTTCCGTGAGGAAGTGGAACAAAATTCTTCCTCCGTAAGCCATGTGTGTTGTAAGAGTTAACTAAAATGCTGGGAGCAAGGGGCTAGCAACACCTTCTCCTGTATACATTACTAAAGTTAAAAAGAGAAACTTTTGTTTTTCTTTTTGGGCCACCCTGCCTAGGTGGGAAATGGCTGATTTGTTGAAAGGTGATTTGGGAATGAATGTGTCAGTGGATGGTTATATGAGAGACAAAGTAAATCATAGAAATGATGAGGGGAAAAAGGTGGGTGACGTATTCAGGTATCTATGGAGACAAAGAAATGACTGTATCAGAGTATAGTGGTACCAACACTCTTAAATGGGTGTGAAGCATGAGTTGTGAATGTTGCAGCGAGGAGGAGGCTGAAGGCAGTGGAAATGCTGTATCTGAGAGCAATGTGTGGCATAAATATTATGCAGGGAATTAATAGTCTGGAGATTAGAGGGAAGTGTAGAGGTACTAAAAGTATTGTTCAGAGGGCTAAGGAGGGGTTGTTGAGGTGGTTTGGTCATTTAGAGACGATGGAGCAAAATAGGATGACTTGGAGAGTATATAAATCTATAGTGGAGGGAAAGTGGGGTAGGAGTTGTTCTAGGAAAGGAGGGAGGGGATAAAGGAGGAGGTTCTGTGTGCAAGGGGCTTGAACATACAGCAGGCACATGCGTGTTAGATAGGAGTGGAGACAAATGGTTTATGGGACTTGATGAGCTGTGGGAGTGTGAGCAAGGTGTATTTTGTGAAAGGATTCATGGGAAACTGGTTAGCAGGACTTGAGTCCTGGAGGTGGAAAGTACAGTGCCTGTACTATAAAGGAGGACTTTGGGATATTTGATGTTTAGAGGGACATCTAAACTGTCATATATGTACACCTCTGGCAAGGCAGCAATAGTGTGAATGACAGTGAAAGCGTTTCTTTTATGGGTCATCTGCCTTGGTGGGAGATGGCCAGCATGTTAAAAAAAAAAATTGGAATAACTTTTCACTTTCCCCACCTTCTGCCCTATAATTAACGAGGTGGTGATGCAGATAATATATAGAAATAACAAAAAGTGATTCTAGATAGTAGGCTGATAGACAGCAACTTCCCAGGGAGGTACTACCGTCCTACCAAGTGTATAACAGAAACCTTTAATTGTTTTACACAATGGTAGGATTGCTGGTGTCTTTTTTTCTGTTTCATACACATGCAAGGTTTCGGGTATGTCTTGCTACTTCTACTTGCACTTAGGTCACACTGCACATGCATAGACAAGGATATACGTGTATATACATACCCCTCTGGGTTTTCTTCTACAGTGATACCTCTCTTATCTTAACTATATGGGCCGAGACCAGTTCAGAAACATGAAGTTTCTGGATACATGAGAGGGAAAAACTGCGCATCCGTACCATTATATCGCCATCCGTACCCTGTTATATCGCCATCGGCAATGGTGCTGTAGGTTTACAAAACGAGTCCAACATTGTCTGGCGGTGGGACCAGACACACTGAGCTTGAATAACAGCCTCCTGGATTTCACAGACCACAGGGCCATAACTTTTCAAATGGGCTGTGGACAGTGGATGCTCCAAATACTCTAAAAGTATTTCGACACCTGCCTTTGCTGCTCGAGTTTTTGGATTGAGAACAGTGGGAGGTGGTGACGGCAAAAAGCGCGGCTCCTAGTGGCCAATTGGTACACTAAAGTGCGTGCCAAGTTGAGTCAGCCTTCTACTGTATCCTAACGACTGTTCGGATGTTTCTGTAATAGTTTTAGAATTTTGCCCCTTCCCAGAGCCTGTTCAGATATTGGCGAGGTTCAGGTAATGGCAGGCTGAATATGCGAGGTATCACTGTATTTCCTTACTAGTTCTTCTTGTTTATTTCCTCTATGGGGAAGTGGAACGGAATTCTTCCTCTGTGAGCCATGCGTGTCATAAGAGGCGGCTAAAATGTCGGGAGCAAGGGGCTAGTAACTCCTTCTCCTGTATATACAGTGGACCCTCAACTAACGCTATTAATCCGTTCCTGAGAGCTCATCGTTAGTCAAAATTATCGTTAGTCAAGTTAATTTTCCCCATAAGAAATAATGGAAATCAAATTAATCGTGTAGGACACCCCAAAGTATGAAAAAAAATTGTTTTTACCACATGAAAGTTTGGAGGGATATGTTGTGTATCTCTATACGTATATGCTTCTAAACTGTTATATTCTGAGCACCTCTGCAAAAGCAGTGATAATGTGTGAGTGTGGTGAAAGTGTTGAATGATGATGAAAGTATTTTCTTTTTGGGGATTTTCTTTCTTTTTTTTTTGGGTCACCCTGCCTCGGTGGGAGACGACCGACTTGTTGAAAAAAAAAAAAAAAAAAAAAAAAAAAAAAAAAAAAAAAAAAAAAAAAAAAAAAAAAAAAAACCACAAACTGAAGAAGACATGCACAGTTACATGACACTTACCTTTATTGAAGATCAGGTGACGATTGATGGGATGGGAGGAGGGGAGAGTGTTGATGGTCTTAGTGTTTAGAAGGGGAATCCCCTTCCATTAGGACTTGAAGTGGTAAGTCCTTTTCCGGGGTTACTTCCCTTCCCTTTAAATCTCTCAAACCAACCTTTGCTGGCCTTAAATTCACTCACATCACCACTAGTTGCTGGCATTTTTTAATTAAATCATCATGCAACTTCCTAGCCTTTTCACATATGATCGCTTGAGAGATGTTATCTCCTGCTATCTGTTTTTCGTTTATCCACACCAATAACAGTCTCTCAACATCTTCGAGTACTTGCGATCTCAGTTTTGAAAACATAGTTGCACCTTTGGCAAGAACAGCTTCCTTGATTGCCGTTTTCTTGCCCTCAATAGTAGCGATGGTTGATTGGGGTTTTGTGTACAACCTGGCCTGCTCGGAGACACACACTTTCATACTTAGCAATGATCTCTTTCTTCATATCCATAGTAATTCTCACCCTTTTTGCTGTAGGGTTGGCACTAGAAGCTTTCTTGGGGCCCATGGTGACTTATTTTGCAGGTGCAATCACTAAAAAGGCTGTGATAATATGAAATGTTCCGATTGTATGCTTGGAAGCGACCGCGGTGGCTGGCTGGCTTGTAAACACTGGCCAGAAGTGGACGCGTCTCAGACGGAACGAATAGTGTTGGTCGAGTTTTTTAGCGCTAGTCGAGGCAAAATTTTTGCGTTAAAATGTATCGCTAGTCGGATTTATCGTTAATCGATGCCATCGTTGGTCGAGGGTCCACTGTATTACCAAATTTAAAAGGAGAAACTTTCGTTTTTTCTTTTGTGCCACCCCACCTCAGTGAGATATGCCCAGTTTGTTGAAAGAAGAAAGAAGAACAAAAAGTGATATCTCATATGTTAATCACAAATTAACTTCTCCAAGCACCTACTCTCTGCATCTTCCTCGTAGGGTTCAAACTCCATCTGCAGGATAGGACACTGACATAGGCCCTCAAATTCCGTATCTTTACATTGTAAGTAGAGGCTGAGAACATCAATAAGACAAGTCTCAGGGACATTGCTGAATGAAGTTACTGCTTCATCCAGGAGTAGTATATCCTTCTTTTGTATTAAATGTGTCATCACATCTGTCACAAGTCTGAAAATAAACACCACTGTAAATTGTAATTATCTGACCCTGAAGCTAAAGACAAAGACTAATTAGTGAAGAGAGTCTTTGCATACACTCTTCAAGTTTAGATTGGCACCCTTGATCCAAGAATTCACAATTACAATATTTAACCATGAGCTCAGCTCATTCAGATAAGGTGTGAGCGGTAAATCTGGGCATAGAGAATGGGTCTATGCGGTAAGTGTGCACCATATAAAAAAAATCCTGCAGCATGCAGTGTATGACAAAGAACTGCAACCGTATTTTTGGTTTAAAACAGAAGCAATTTTATGGTATATTTTCGTATGGATTTATGGTTGAATTCTCAGTTTCCTTGTCTCATTTGATAGAAAGGAAGATATATTACAGAAATAGAAATGATTTGGATTGATTTCTGGACTGAAAGTAGCTTGAAACTGAGCTCACAAGCAGCGGAAATGTTCGATTTTTGCCGATATTTCAGGGTACACAATGTGTGTCCAACTGGCCACCCTAATATGCATTTAGGAATGCACTGACATTACTCATACAATTATTACAACAATGCAGTAGTCTGCATAACAGTAAATCTTCTATTTTTTGCGTAAATAAAAATTAAAATGGAAAGCAAGCATAGCACATGACTAAGGCACAGAAGAAATATTTTTAGTGCGAAGAATGTCTACAGTTTATTCTGGGCCTTATTTTGAAACTGGCAATTTTTAAATTTTGTGTGAAATTGGCTAAATTACAGATTTCTGAACACTTTATTGGATAACTGAAATAGTTAAATGGGCAGTTTCTTGTACTCAATCGATAGAATAGAAGGAATACTAGCAAAATAACTAAGAGTTTGGTTGATTGGAACAATGGAATTGGCCAAAAATAGGGCAAAATTGCCAATGCATAGATATTGCTGAGACTGCTAACTTTGCGAGAGCATAATTCCATACATTTGGTTTCATTACTTTCAGAAAAAGATTCTCTATTATCTTTTAAGATAAACTTTATGTATATATTGTTTTTAAATTCTTCAACCCTGAGAACAAGTTTGAAATCAGGGGTCTCGAACCTGAAAGGGTTAAATGAGACAGAATTACTTCTTGGGGCAAACATCTGTGACAGTATAATAATTAAATTTATTACCATTTTACTAACTAAAACTTTATGTGTAGTATAATCTTGATCACTAACAATAAATATGAATAAAATTCATAAATTTTTAGCGTCAACCATAAATATTAATAAGTAATTGGCGGTGTATAATTAGGCTATTACAATACAGGAGATCCCAATTTCCAAAGTTCTTCACATCCACACTTACAAACAAGTCCCACTGGAACAAATTAATGTCTATGCAAACAAATTACAAACTGATAAGCCAGGAGCTTAACTTCTCTAAAATGTAAATTGAAGCAACTCAATGCCTTACAAGAGATGAAAGGCAACTGAGAAAATTAGGAGAAACTAACACAAATCAAAGAATACAAGACCTCGTTAAGTGTGCATCACTAAAATATCCCTTTTTATAATGGTTATAAACTACAGACATTTTTTTTTTTTTTTATTATCACACTGGCCGATTCCCACCAAGGCAGGGTGGCCCGAAAAAGAAAAACTTTCACCATCATTCAGTCCATCACTGTCTTGCCAGAAGGGTGCTTTACACTACAGTTTTTAAACTGCAACATTAACACCCCTCCTTCAGAGTGCAGGACACTGTACTTCCCATCTCCAGGACTCAAGTCCGGCCTGCCGGTTTCCCTGAACCCCTTCATAAATGTTACTTTGCTCACACTCCAACAGCACGTCAAGTATTAAAAACCATTTGTCTCCATTCACTCCTATCAAACATGCTCACGCATGCCTGCTGGAAGTCCAAGCCCTCGCACACAAAACCTCCTTTACCCCCTCTCTCCAACCTTTCCTAGGCCGACCCCTACCCCTACAGACATATGGGATGTAAGTCTACGTTTGAATGGCCAAAAAACTACTAGATATATACAGTGAGCCCTTTTAAAATGAGACTTCACTCAACTCGATTTTTGTTTCAAAGTGGTTCACAAAACATGTCACCAAAAATTTTGAAAGAGCAAAAATTTTGATACTATGTAAAGCATGAATCAACGAATGAGCAAAATTTTGTTATTACCCACTGTAGGTTTGCAAGGCATTAAGTTATGAGCTAAATCCTTCCCTCCCCACTGCTACCTATGCCACCTACAGTTGCTTTCTGGGTTGCTTTCTGGGACTGTAGTCTACCTTACAAGTGTTTTATCAAATGATTTTGCATATTTTCATCACCTATCACTTAGTGCTGAGTATTAGAAGAATAAGCACAAATTTCCTAGGTAGTAGGTTGGTAGACAGCAACCGCCCAGGGAGGTACTACCGTTCTGCCAAATGAGTGTAAAACGAAAGCCTGTAATTGTTTTACATGATGGTAGGATTGCTGGTGTCTTTTTTCTGTCTCATAAACATGCAAGATTTCAGGTACGTTTTGCTACTTCTACTTACGCTTAGGTCACACTACACATACATGTACAAGCATATATATATACACACCCCTCTGGGTTTTCTGCTATTTTCTTTCTAGTTCTTGTTCTTGTTTATTTCCTCTTATCTCCATGGGGAAGTGGAACAGAATTCTTCCTCCGTAAGCCATGCGTGTCGTAGGAGGCGACTGAAATGCTGGGAGCAAGGGGCTAGTAACCCCTTCTTCTGTATATACAGTATTACTAAATTTGAAAGGAGAAACTTTCGTTTTTCCTTTTGGGCCACCCCACCTCGGTGGATACGGCCGGTGTGTTGAAAGAAAGAAAGAAGCACAAATTTATGATGATGATGATGATGAAGAAAGTGGAAGTCTTAGATATGCTTTGAGGCAGAGCACATATGATGGTGACTGCCCATCCACCTCAGTCCATCAGACCCATACATTAACCTCTCCACACTCTTCCATGTTGTCTCCATATAAATACACACATTGATATACTGTATTACATGCATATATTTCTCAGTGGGGTATGGCTGGTTTATTGAAGAAAAAATCTATCTATATATCACTGTTATTTTTGTTAGAAGCTAAAATAAAAACATCATGCTTTATAATTTTTTTTTTTTAACACTTTGGCCGTTTCCCACCAAAGCAGGGTGACCAAAAAAGAAACACTTTCACTATCATTCACACATAATCACTGTCTTTGCAGAGGCACTCAGATATGACAGTTAAGATGTCACTCCTAACAGCCAATACAGTAGGGTCCCTGTATCCATGGGGGATACGTTCCAAGACATACTGTGGATAGTAGTGAACCCTATAAGTCATTTTTTGTTTACATGCCTATGATAAAGTTTAACTGGTAAACTATGCAAAATAAGTCTAGAATAAGCATTTTCTTAGGCTCTGAAGAACTGTCAGTATCACCACTTTTGCACTTTGGGGCCATTATTAAGCAAAATTAAGGGTCATTTTTGGGGCATGACTCAAATCTGGCTAACTGGTTTCCCTGAATACCTTCACAAAATATTACCCTGTTCACACTCCAACAGCTTATCAAGTCCCAAAAACTATTTGTCTCCATTTACTCCTATCTAACATGCTCACACATGCCTGCTGCATGTCCAAGCCCCTTACACACAAAACCTCTTTTGCCCCCTCCCTCCATCCTTTCCTAGGACGACCCCTACCCCTCCACTACAGATTTATACACCCTCCAAGGCAATCTATTTTGCTCTTAAATATTTAGCTACACTGATAGGATATCTCACACTACACTGGCAGATTCGAGGAGCTTTCAGTGGCTGCCCCATGCTGCTATATGCTTGTTCACTAGTTTGATAATTGTGAAGCACTATGGGACATTTGGCACACTGGGAGTGAACCTCATCTCACCTTTGATGATGAGTTTCGAGTCTTACTACTCCCAGAGATCGTCCACAAGCCAGGCTGTAGTTGCTACATTATTCACTCTCTCTCTGGCTGGACATTGCTGAGGCAACACCTCCCCCTTTCTCTGTCTACGAGAACTCTGTGTCCTTTCCTCGTCATGTAGACTCAGTTTTGTGGCAGAGTATGATCTCATTGGTGACTGAGCCATACATCTTGTTTTCTGTGGAACTCAATTTCCTGAGACTCATTTAGAATTAGTGATTTCTGGAATTTTGTGGTTGTGTGTTATGACACTCAACATGGTTCTGGCCCTGTTAAACAAAATTGCCTTGTATGTGGCATTAACACTGTATAGTCCAGGTTTGGAATTTTGAATTAATTCAATAATTTGGAAGGTTTCTGCTTTTTACCTTGTATAAATGACATGTGAATTGTCCCCAGTTAGCTTGTTTTCCTTCCCCAATGTTGTCTTTTAGATTCTTTGTACAAATTGCTGTTAGAAAAAGTAGCGCTTCATGTTCAAGAAAAGCTGTGAAAAATGTTTTTCTCAAAAATTTTTTTAATTAGGGATTGATGGATTTTGTTAGCATTTTTCTATGCCAAATGTTGCCTTTATGTCCACACCTTATCTTTCAATTTTGAGTACAATGCATAAGAAACACGCCAGATAAAAATTTTTTTCTCTACTAAATTATGTACAGGAGATATAGAAATGTCTGGTTTAGTTTAAAGCTATACAGATTACGACAAATAGGAATTTTTAACCTTTTCACTGTGGGGGCCCCCCAAAATTAAAAAGCTGATAATATTGAAATTTAAAAAAAAAAAAAATTTCTAAGATGGGGGGAACCTTTTTCTGAAGGTAATGACACCAAAAAATAAAAAATTTTTGATGGAAAACTTAGGGAAATTATGGGTGCAAATTAGCCCTGAGTACACTGGCCCTTTTTAAAAGCTATTTCCATTGTCATTCAACAAATTTAGATATTTTGTGAGTTTTTCCATTTTATTAATGGAACAAAAAAAGACCCCTTAAATTTTTAAAATTTTACCTTTTTGGCACAGAGGTCAATGATTTGCATATTTTAAAAATATTTAAATTTTAAAAAAAAATCCA